GTGTACATTGGCTGCTCTCAACTGCATCGATTGGTTTCAACGCCATGCAGTCCATATGCCTCCGGCGGTAATGTTCAAATATGAGTAATATTTATAAACCTTGTTTTGCATAATACTATGATGTTTCAAAAAGGTTTCTCGTAGTCATCTGAGCCTTTTTGACGTACAATCAGTACAACACTGAAAAATTTACGCCTATCTTAGGAAATACATATCTACAACTGACTTTCAAGACTGAACGTATAGCTACTCAGTACTGCAAAGCAGGCATTTTATTCGGTCTATTAAATGCGTATGCTAATCAAAGACGTGGTACATACACAGAAAACTTGAAGACGGTAATATAATGGCCTTTTACTTGTGCTTACATCTGCCTTTGAAAATTTTCCTTGCTATGTGAACTTATTGTACCTCTATGAAGCCTCTGCAGAGAAGTGAAACGCGTGATTTCGATGAAGATAGACGTGTTTTCCTGAACTTTCCAATTATCACATGAAAGCGTCTTCAGAGACTGAGTTATTAATATCGTAAACTATGGGAGACAAGTTACTCATATCGAAAATGAAGAAATTATGAACGGGTCTTTTTAGGTTTTGGGTTCGCCGTACGCCATAATATGTCATTACTCGTAAGAGCCGGCCGCCAAACAAATGTTTTCTTTCTCACTCTATGTTTCCGACGAACCTGAGCTTAGAGTCGTCTGGTACATTTGCACACTATTTAAGTATACGCTGGAAAGTCAATTAAGGGTGATATGCATTCATAAAACGCATCGTTATTTTTAAGTTCTAAAAAATTTATGCCAACCAAACTGAAAAAATACGAGCTAAACAAGGACATTATATCTTAAATGATCTTTTTATTTGAGAGGGCCTCAAAGATAGTCATATTCTATCGGCAGTATGCAGTGAATAAAGACGTTGCTTACCAGACCAGGCATGCTATCCTCATTTTCTTTCGAAAACATTATCAAGTGTTAAATTATAACCACGTTAATGTATGTCCAATCCGAGAAAAAGCAGGCACTACTACTCATTTTATCTTTAATTATACTTAATATGTTTATGTATACTTTTTAAGCATGCGTCAGATTGTGGAGAATATTGAGAATAAATTTACGCAGCAAGGTATATATGGTAGATAACACATTGTCTTCCATCAGGCCTAAATTGTGTATTGAAAGAAAGTATAATGTACGCTCGCGCATGCTTTTTTCAAAAACATGCCAAATATGATAACATTAAATGAAGAGGATTTAGGTAAATTTCAAGGGAGACTCAGCATGCAAGGCAGAAAATCGTTGCCTTTCTCGGACGCTCCTTCGATGATCACTTTCGCCATTAAAAGGAAAAAGTAAACGTGAAATATATGCGCCTAGCCTTTGAAATGAACAGTGTGCGCGAATGTCACCAGGACTTCTGACGAACCGGCTTTGCTAGATATGCGCAGCGCGTTCATTACGCTGCGAGCGCCCACTTAATTGCAAATAGGACAGTGTTATCCAGTAGACATCAGACCACCGTAAGAAACGTAAATCTTAATTTGAGAAAAGTTCAGACCTGTTTGACTGGATACATACATGCACTTTTCTTAGCTGAAGATAGAGGAAGTTCTCGCTTCATGACCGTCCTCTTTTTTACTTGTACAAATTTTGAAGGAGTGGATACAATTTTTAAGCTAAATGAAAGACGCTCTAGCTGTAGCAGATAATGGAACTCTGACGGGCCGCGTAATGAAGTATCCGTGAATGTAATTACTGCACGTTTTAAGCTGTAATTCTAATTTTTCTGAACTTCTAAACACATTGTATTTTATGCGACAATGATTTTGAGTAAATGAAAAAGTCTTTTCCTAATAAATTTCAAGCGTTTAGAAGTCTAGCAGGAAATCAAATTCGACTTATAAGGCGAAGAATGCCTTCAAAAGAGAAACTGACTCATCGCTCGTGATGGCATGGTAAATATTGAATTAAAAGCCTGGTATATAAAATGATTAAAGTTTGATGGTGCTTACGACGATAACACATCATAAATTATATATGAATTCATAATCGGTTTTAATTTCTTATTTCCAAAACCAATTATTAATGCATCCTCAATGGGCTTTTGTAGTCAATGGATAAACTTGCTTCTCCATCCTTAAAAGGCTTGGTCAAAATCATTTACACCTGCTTCGG